TTCGGTCTATCTATTTTGCATGCCAAAATAAGACTTTTTGAAAATCTACTACACATAGCTTATAAATTACCAATAAAGAAATGGCAAATAAAAACAATAGAAGAAAAGAATACCGTTGAGCAAAAAAAAAGATATATTGAAGAACAATTCAAAATTAAAAAAGGTATAATAATAGATAGACCTAAACCTGGCTTTGGCAATAGCAATGACGGAAATACTAGCCGTAGATTTTTTGCAGATCATAATTTATCAGCAGAAATAACGGGGATTGATGTAACATTAATATATCGTTTTAAAGTCATATTACAAGCTATCTCTACTCTGTACAAAATAAACATTGAAAAATTTGAAGCGTATGCCATGGATACAGCCAAACTGTATATTCAATTGTATCCATGGCATCCAATGACCCGCACTACGCACAAAATTTTAATTCATGGCCCGGTAATAATACAAAATGCCATTTTGCCAATTGGACAACTATCCGAAGAAGCAGCGGAAGCCAGAAATAAACATTTCCGAACATACAGGGAAAATCATTCAAGAAAATGTTCTAGAGAAGCATGTAACGAAGACGTGATAAATAGACTTCTTCTCACTTCCGATCCGTATTTAACAAGCATACGTAAAATACCAAAAAAAAAGTCACGTCCCCTTTTACAAGAAACACTAAATTTGCTTCTTCTACCTAATACAATAAGCGAAGACGAAGACGAAAGCGAAGAAGAAAATGAAGAAGATAACGAAAATGAAGATTATGATGAAAGCGAGGATGAGGACGAGAATATTTATTAGAATAAGATGATAGAAGAACATTTTCATAAAGCAATTTTCATCGAATTGTGAGTATCGTAATTGTATATAAAAAATATTTTTTGAATATCATATCTACATATATCATTATATTTCATATATTTTAATGCATATATTTCAATAAGATTTTAGATGTGTATTGTAGCTTCAGTAGTGATTTTTATACAAAATACCTATATAATCAAAAAGTAGAAGATTTACGCTTTACAATCATTGTTGTTTCATCAATTTCGGACTATTACCGGCAAAGTTATGAGAATTTGAAAATTACGCGAATTTTAAATTAGCTCTGTCCGGCTTTTAGGTGCAAATACCCCACTGTGCGTCGCATCTTCCGGCTATGCAACATTTGATGTAATTGTGCACTGTTTATTTTCGACGAAAACTCTTCTAACAAGAGAGATTTGAATTTCGTCCATGTCGTAATGGCTCGCTCACCCTGCATAAATAATTTCGCCAGCCCCGTTAAACATTTTTTCGCAACTCTCGGCATTGTCTTCAAAATCCCGGATCCAACTTTCCACTGGATATCCGTCCGATCCATTAAATTGCCGGATTAAGTCCTCGATGTCGCGAAAATTTAGCGTAAATTTTGGGGTTTCACGATCAGTTCTAACATTCTGCGCCACTAAATCTGTCTGTGATAGGGTTCTCGCGGATACTGGTCGCGTACTTGTATTCGTTGAAAATTGTTGAATTGTCTCATCCATCGCCTCGTCTTCCGAATCTTCTTTTGATTCTGAGACGGTCGATGCACTAGCTAATTTCAATCGATTCGGATCTACTAAATGTCCACAAATTCGATGAGCCACTTCTTCATTCTGCCCAGTAAAATCAATGTTCAATACAGTGCATACAGCCACTAATTCACCTAAACTAAATGTCGTAACAGCCCACGCCACTTTCTCGACAAACTCTTTGGATCCTATTTCGCATCCTAGTCCCGAAAATTTACGTAAATATTTCCGATTATTACGGTCGTCTTCGTCACTTCAAATTAATTTATACAGCGCACGAATTGCCTCGGCGCTTTGCGCAAGTTCTCACAGATAACCGGAATATCATTTCAGCACCAATTGATTTATTTCACTTCAATGAGGTACTGCATTAGATATTTTATTCCAATTTTATCCCATTTCGTAGGGAAGGTACTCATTCGTTTTGAAACGTGAATTTATTCATTTGCTTCATTAGAATAATCGACAGAATGAATTTTCGTGAATTTATTCTTTTTCCTTTTTGAAGGCTTAAAATAAATACAAGATACTTGGTCTGGGTAAACAACAACTAATTGGTATATCTCCCATTCACGAATTACGAAGAACTTAATATTATTCTTAACTTCTTAATTCATTATTCGATGTAACTTTCACCTAATAACTTTCTATTATACCGACGTTATACCGACGCGGTATCGATACATTTGTTCACGACGACGATCGGCCGTCACACTCGAAGCTTTTGCTCACGCTTTCGTGCACTCGGTCTATGCGCGCTCTCATTGGTCAGTGTTTTTTGCTAATAACTCGAAAATGGAGCCTCAACCAATATTTTGGCAAAGGAAAAAGTTGTTCAGAATCGCCCCACCTACCACCCCTTTTCGGGTCCTACACTAATTGCGGGACACCCTGTATATCTCCGCCTGTCCGTTGGCTCTCGGTGCTCCTGTTGCTCTATAAGGTGTAACTGAATAGTATGATTTTTTAAGAACTGCTCCAAAGGTTTATACATGAAATTAGTTCCTCGGTCTAAAACGACAATACGCGGTGTACCGAATAACAGAAGACGTTCTCGAAATACGCGTAGCGTTTCCGGTCCACTTAGAGATTTTAATGGGATTAACTGAACGTACTTCGTAAACGCATCGACTATAATAAGGATATGTTTGTAACCTTCTTTCGATTCTCCGAAAGGCCCTACACAATCGCAATGGACCATATCGAAAGGAATAGGTTTCTTTTCTATTGAATGTAGAAAGCCTTGTTTCGGTCCAGTGTGTCGTTTATTAACAGAACAAATTATGCAATGGCTTATATATTTTTTAATAAAATCTCGTAAACGTGGGAACCAGTACTTTTGCGCTATTTTATCAAATGTTTTATCATAACCGACATGAGAATTTTCATCGTGATACATCCTTAATAATCCTATTCTATCACCTTTCGGTACAAAATTCCGGTATATACAGTGGCGGCCATATACTTACGTACACCTCATATTTTAACTTTAAAATCTGATATATTTCTACAAAGCTCAGATAGTGGTATGAACAATTAATTTTTTAAGAATCTTGAACCCTGATGTTCATATTTATAGTAGAACTTTGGCTTATTTAAAAAAAAATAAGTACTTCGTAAATGTTTTCTTTTGTTTTGTCGGTTTTGCAACGGACAATTACTTACGTACGCTTTTGTTTCGCACAGCTACGCTAATTGTAAACAATATTTACCAGTATTTAGTGGGCAGTGTTTGCAGTTAGACGTATTATAATAGTGCTGCAATGAATAAAGGAAAAAATATCACGCCAGAACAACGACGATTAGTGGAACAGCTTCGGAAGGATGGAATGTCGTACCGAAAGATTTCCGAGAAATTAGAGATTTCTGTTATGGCTTGCCATCAAGCTATACAACATATTGCCCTTCATGGAATACCAGACAACATTCCTCGTAAAGCGAGACCTTGAAAAACTGATCAAAGAACAGATCGCAAGATTCACCAATTATTTGAAGCGGACAGATTCAAAACTGCAGTTGCCACCCACAAAGAAATAGCAGCAGATCTCCATAAAAAAATAAGTGTTAGAACTGTCCAGCGAAGACTTAATGAGTTTCAATTATACGGACGTGTTGCCAGAAAGAAACCGCTCATTTCAGAAAAAAATCGTCGGGCTAGGATTGTTTTTGCGAAAGATCATTTAAACTGGACACCTCAGCAGTGGTCCAGAGTAATTTTTACAGATGAATCGAAATTTAATCGATTTGGATCTGATGGCAAAGTATACGTGAGACGTTGCAAAGGAGAAGAATTTCATAAAAATTGTATTAAACCGACTGTAAAAGGTGGTGGTGGGTCGGTACTCGTTTGGGGGGCTATGATGGTGGTGGTGGGTCGGTACTCGTTTGGGGAGCTATGACAGTAAGAGTTACTGGTCCTATTCATCGCATAACTGGAATCATGGACAGATACGCATATTTGGATATTGTAAAAAACGTATTACTACCATTCGCCGAACAATACATGCCACAGGAATGGGTCTACCAAGTGGATAATGATCCAAAACATTCCGCTAAAGTCGTCAAGACATTTTTGAGTGACAACAATATTCGCGTAATGAACTGGCTAAATGAACTGGCCAGCACAATCTCCGGATCTGAATCCAATCGAAATGCTGTGGATTGATGTCGACAAACATGTACAAAAGCAGAAACCCAAAAATATTGATGAATTGTACACTATTGTACAGGAAGCATGGAATTCGATACCTGCTAGCAGATGTGTTCGACTTATCGAATCCATACCGCGAAGGTGTGCTGCAGTTATAAAAAATAAGGGTTTACATACGAAATATTAATGTATTTATTATAATTATAAGTTAAATAAACATGCGAAAGTATAGGTGTTTCGATGTGTACTTAAGTATGTGTCCGCAGAAATCTTGACACTTCGTCATAAATATATGAAAAACTTTTTAATTATAGCAAATTAAAGAAAGCTATTTTGAAATCATATTATGCATATTGTAGGCCTATAAAAAATATAATTGATTTTCATATACTCGTGTAACGTATAAGTGTAGAGGAAATAATATTTATTTCTAGTAAGCGTACGTAAGTATATGGCCGCCACTATAATTCGTCCATTGTCTTTACGTATCTTTCTACACAGAATATTATTTTTGAATTCAAAATCACTAATAATGGAATCCTTTGCAGCAAGTCTTTCACCTGTTTCTTTTGTTTCTGGATAATTTCTTTGAACCACCTCGAGCCACGGACCCTCGTGAATTACATTTATTCGGTAATCAGGTCGTGGGTTACGACTCAAGTAATCCACATGCTCTACATATTTTCCCTTACGATATTCCAGATCGAAGGTGAAATCTTGTAGGAAGATCCACCACCTTGCGACTCGTGGGACTAGATCTTTCTTATTGCTAGTTGCTTTAATAGCATTACAATCTGTCACTATTTTAAATTTGGAAATAGGATTCCGCCGTAGCCGATAGCACTTGCATCGGTGTGTAGTTCGGTTTCTCTTTCCGGATTGAAAATAACTAACAATGGGTTGCTAATCAGTTTTTCGACAATATACTGTCTAGCGTCCTCTTGTTTTTTGCCCCATTCCCAGGTTGTATTACTTTTTGTTAATTTTGTGATGGGGGCTGTACGAACTGAAAATGATGGTATAAACTTACGGAAGTAACTAGGGCTGTACGAACTGAAAATGATGGTATAAATTTACGGAAGTAACTAGCCAATCCCATGAATTGCCTTACTTGCTTTACACTCGTAGGCACCGGAGACTCGAGCAAAGCTTTTATTTTCTCTTTGCTGGGCCGAATTCCCGCGGCAGATACCTCGCGACCCAAATACTCGACGGTAGTTTGGAAAAATTTATATTTTTTTTATATTGAGTGAAAATCCAGCTTTTGTTAGGGCGTTCAACACTTGATCTAGTGTGTCCAGTCCCCCCTCGATCGTCTGTGACGGAATAAGTATGTCGTCTACATAAACCAAAGCTATGTTGTTGCGGAGGTTGCCTAGAGCAGTATTAATGGTCCGCTGAAAAACAGCCGGCGCATTCGTTAAACCGAAGGGCATACGTAGATACTCATAATGCCCATCGGGTGTTACGAAAGCAGTTTTACAAATTGAGTCGGGAGCTATCGGAATTTGATGAAATCCGGACAGCATGTCTAGAGTGGTAAAATACTTCCCTTTTCCCAGACGATCGAGTTGGTCATCGATTAGAGGAAGTGGATACCGGTCGCGGATAGTAATTTTATTTAACTCTCGGAAGTCTACACACAATCTATTCGATCCGTCTTTCTTTTTTTATGAGGATTGCGGGACTGGCAAACGGAGATGTACTTTCTCTAATTATATTGTCTTTTAATAAAGTATCGACTAGGGCGCGAACTCTTTCACGTTCAGTATACGCCAATCGGTATGGATTATAACTGATTACCTTGTTTTCCTGCGTCGTAATTGTCATTTCTCCAGTCGTTACCTGACGCTCGGGATTACCAGTTATCATCATCTCCTGGTATTTTTCAAGCAAAGATTTCAGCGGTCCTCGCACATCATCCTCGACTCTGGTGAGTTGGAGACACTGCGACAAGCTCGAAAGCATTACAATCTGTCACTATTTTAAATTTGGAAATAGGATTCCGCCGTAGCCGATAGCACTTGCATCGGTGTGCAGTTCGGTTTCTCTTTCCGGATCGAAAATAACTAACAATGGGTTGCTAATCAGTTTTTCGACAATATACTGTCTAGCGTCCTCTTGTTCTTTGCCCCATTCCCAGGTTGTATTACTTTTTGTTAATTTTGTGATGGGGGCTGTACGAACTGAAAATGATGGTATAAACTTACGGAAGTAACTAGCCAATCCCATGAATTGCCTTACTTGCTTTACACTCGTAGGCACCGGAGACTCGAGCAAAGCTTTTATTTTCTCTTTGCTGGGCCGAATTCCCGCGGCAGATACCTCGCGACCCAAATACTCGACGGTAGTTTGGAAAAATTTACATTTTTTTATATTGAGTGAAAATCCAGCTTTTGTTAGAGCGTTCAACACTTGATCTAGTCTTTCCAATCCCTCTTCGATCGTCTGTGACGGAATAAGTATGTCATCTACATAAACCAAAGCTATGTTGTTGCGGAGGTTGCCTAGAGCAGTATTAATGGTCCGCTGAAAAACAGCCGGCGCATTCGTTAAACCGAAGGGCATACGTAGATACTCATAATGTCCATCGGGTGTTACGAAAGCAGTTTTACAAATTGAGTCGGGAGCTATCGGGATTTGGTGAAATCCGGACAGCATGTCTAGAGTGGTAAAATACTTCCCTTTTCCCAGACGATCGAGTTGGTCATCGATTAGAGGAAGTGGATACCGGTCGCGGATAGTAATTTTATTTAACTCTCGGAAGTCTACACACAATCTATTCGATCCGTCTTTCTTTTTTTATGAGGATTGCGGGACTGGCAAACGGAGATGTACTTTCTCTAATTATATTGTCTTTTAATAAAGTATCGACTAGGGCGCGAACTCTTTCACGTTCAGTATACGCCAATCGGTATGGATTATAACTGATTACCTTGTTTTCCTGCGTCGTAATTGTCATTTCTCCAGTCGTTACCTGACGCTCGGGATTACCAGTTATCATCATCTCCTGGTATTTTTCAAGCAAAGATTTCAGCGGTCCTCGCACATCATCCTCGACTCTGGTGAGTTGGAGACACTGCGACAAGCTCGAAGGTTCGACCGGTTCATGCAGGTTTGCTCCACACTCCAGTCTTGAGCCAGTAGCATCGGTCACCATCTTTAAGTCCTTCCTTTTCAGCACGTTCTTCCCGATGATTACCTCCGGTGCGACCTGGAAATCTGGTACCACCAGCAACTCCAATTCAACAGCAGTATCTTGAAATCGGAGCGTTTCAATGATACGGCCTATCGTTTTCACCCGTTGACCCCCTAATCCTTGGACCGCTCCTGATAGTGGCACTACCCTGCAGCCAATGTGTTGGGCGGTGTCTTCCCGTATTAGGGAGCATTCGGCTCCGCTATCTAACAGACACCGAAGCGTTACGTCACGAATAACGACGGGCGTCAAGCTACAAGTGTTAGAAAGGCAAGCGTTCACAGCTGGTTTCCTGTGGCCTTCCCTATTGCGGATAGCCCGTTGCTTGGTCCAGCATTGAGACTCTTCGTGTCCTTCTTCGCGCAATATGTGCATGACACAGAGTGTTTTCGGACAGGGTGGCTTCTGGTATTCGAGACAGACACAAATTTTCGCCTTTTAGGACATTCGCTCGTGACATGATCGATCCCATCACAGCCATAACAGCGCTTTCTGGAGGCATGAGCATGGGATTTTGTATACCCCTGGTGTAGATAGCTGCGGCTGTGGGTCCTTGGGGGAGGTGAGGAGTTGTCCTATTTTGGTATGGGTCGTGAAAACAGTCCTAATGTTGTGTTTCCTGAGGATTCTGCCTATGCGGTCGGTCGTACCTTGAATGTATGGCAGGAAGGTAGTGGCGTGTTCTTTGTCGTGTGTGTCTGTCGTGTGGTTGTGTGTCGGTTTTGTTGTGTGGTTGGTCAGTCGGTCTATGGTGCGATTAATTTTGTGTTTGGAGTAACCGTTTTGTTGTAGTGTAGACCTGATGTGTTCCAGTTCATTGGCCAGGTTCTCTTGTTCGCTAATGCAGGTTGCTCTGTGGACGAGGTGGCCAGGTTCTCTTGTTCGCTAATGCAGGTTGCTCTGTGGACGAGGGATGTGATTACGGAATTCTTTTGGGAAGGGTGGTGGTGGGATGTAGCATGTAGGTATCGGTTGGTATGTGTAGGTTTCCTGTAAACCTGATGGCCAAGGGTTCCGTCCGCTTTTCTAGTAATTAGGGTGTCAAGGAAAGGTAGTGAACGGTCTGGGGTTTCTATTTCCATAGTGAACTGTATGTTGGGATCCAAGGAATTTATGTAATTGAGGAAATTATGTAATTGAGGAAATCGCCAAGTTTTTCTCTTCCATGGCTCCAAACTACAAAGGTATCATCCACATACCTGAACCACTGAGATGGTTTTAGTGGCGCGTTATTGAGAATGTAATTCTCTAAGTACTCCATGTAGATGTCAGCGACTACGGGAGAGATGGGGGATCCCATTGCTGCTCCGGACACTTGTTCATAGTATGTACCTTGGAAGATGAAATAATTGGTGTTGAGGCAGTGCTGGATTAGAGGAACTAGGTTTTCAGGGACTTTATCCTGGATGATTTCGATACTTTTCTTGATGGGGACATTGGTGAAGAGGGACTGCACGTCGAAACTGACAAGTATGTCATGGGGTAGGGTTCGGATGTCCTGGATCTTACTTATAAAGTGGGATGAGTTAGTTATGGAGCTGGGTGTGTTGCCGGTGAGGGGTTTGAGGATAGATGTGAGGTACTTTGAGAGCTTGTATGTGGGAGAACCAATGGTGCTGATTATTGGTCTGAGTGGAACGTTGGGTTTATGGATTTTAGGTAGTCCGTAGAGTCTAGGCGCTTTTGATTCTTTAGGTAGGATGGCTTTTGTGATGGGGTCAGGAAGTTTGGCATTTTTTTATAAGGGTAGTAGTGGCTCTTTCAACCGAGGTTGTGGGGTCCTTGTTCACTGTCCTGTAAGTTGTATTGTCCAGTAGGTAGAGGAATCGTAAAGCATGCGACTCACCGATCGCTGACTTGCGCCACTGAGATCGTTTTATCGGTAAGGCATCTGAGACTGCACATTTGGTAGGCATTGCATCTTAGAGATTAATTGACTGCTTGGCTAATTGGCTGCTTGATTGATTGGCTGTTTGGCTGCTTTTATCAGATTCGGACGTGGTGGTTTGGGAGCTGCCCTTCTGTAATCATAACAGAACCACAACGATTAATTAACTGTATTTATCGATTTGCATTTTGATAACATAAATGTTTTCTAACTTCTACTCGTGCAAACATGTAATAAGCTTTTGATTTTGAGATATACAAACACATAGAGGCATGCAGGAGTCGGTATAAATTCACAAACGTTCATGTCACAACGTGAAATATCGTAAAATATTTGAAAATGTATGTCAAAACTCTTGGGTAATTACTTTAGAAAGCATATTAGAACGTTTGCAAAAATATACCGGAACACGTAGGTAACTACACATTAAACACCAGTAACAGTTTGTCAAAACATTTAAATAATCATTATATAAAGTACACTAAAACACTAGTAACCGTTTGTAAAAACATTCAAATAATCATTCTATTAAGTATACTACAACACCAGTAATTGTTTGTCAAAACACTTAAATAACATAACCATAAAGCACACTAAAACACCAGTAACAGTTTGTCAAAACATTTAAATAATCATTATATAAAGTACACTAAAACACTAGTAACCGTTTGTAAAAACATTCAAATAATCATTCTATTAAGTATACTACAACACCAGTAATTGTTTGTCAAAACACTTAAATAACATAACCATAAAGCACACTAAAACACCAGTAACAGTTTGTCAAAACATTTAAATAATCATTATATAAAGTACACTAAAACACTAGTAACCGTTTGTAAAAACATTCAAATAATCATTCTATTAAGTATACTACAACACCAGTAATTGTTTGTCAAAACACTTAAATAACATAACCATAAAGCACACTAAAACACCAGTAACAGTTTGTCAAAATATTTAAATAATAATTGCATAAAATACACTAAAGCACTAGTAACAATATGCCAATACACTCAAAAAACCGTTCCATAAAATAAATTCAAGCACCAGTAACACTATGCCAAAACACTTAAATAACAGTTGCATAAAGTGCACTAATACCCATTAAAAATTTGTAAAAACACTTAAATAATCACTCCACAAAATATA